GTGTTGCAGTACAGAAACCAGCCAAAACCCAGAGGGCTTCATGTAAAGAGGCAAAGCAATCAAAGCATGGAAAACAAGAGTCAAACCTTTCAAATAACCTGAAGCAGAATATCAAGGAACATCAGTTCCCCCTTAAATGACAAGCCGTTCTTTTTCTGGGAGTTTGATCACACTGATTGAAGACACGTTAAGCAGGTACAGAAACCTTGTAACTGCAGAGGCAGAAAAAAAAAAAGCTTTGAACAAACTACTTATCAGACTGGCCCAGAGCGGGAAGACAAGGCACCAGTTAGACTTGTGTTTAATGAATGGGTGGTGAGCTACCGCGCGTCATATTTCCTGGCATGTTATTCAAATTGTAAGGCTTTGATCATGTGCTTTTTCACACCACCGCAATGTCATCTGCACTGGAAGGGCAAGGCTGCTCTGGGAGAAGCCCTGGATGCAGTTCCTGTGTGGTCCTGAGAAGCATAATCCAAGGGAAAGGGCAAGAGATTCCTCGAGAGTATTGTGTACAACAAGGAAAATCATTGCTGTTTAAAGTGGAATGGGTGGATTCCAAGACAGAGAGTGGGTGACTTCAAATGACAGTATTTTAGATGATATACGGTATATGCTGTACAGTGTATAATGATGTTGTTTCTATCATGATACAAGATAGCCTATAGTCTTGGTTTAAAATGCACTTCCACTTAGCTTCCACTTATGCCTTTAAAGTGCATTTAAAACTGAGAACAGGGGCACTTGTCTAACCACAGGGTGGTGGCAGTGTGGAACAAGCTGCCCAGCCATGTTGTTAAAGCTAATATCCTGGTTTCTTTCAAGAAACTGCTGGATGAGATCTTCAGATCAATTAACTACTCACTACCAGATGGGTAGTGTCTAGTCTTCAGCAGGGACAAGGAACACTGCCTGTTTCCAAGGGATGTTCATGGAAACACTGTAAATCTTTAGTTTCTTTTGGAAGGAACATACAGTATACCCTCACAACAGTGCCACTTCAGGGGTATGGCTTTGATATTAAAGGTTTGGTATGGGTGACAAATTCCATAAGCAGAATGGTGTGTCTTGAAAAAAAAGTCTCAACAATTCATCTCCGCTATTGAGCTCACTTTCTCTTGTGGTATGTAAAAGGTATTATTTTTGCATGCATTTTGGAGTTTACAAAAGTTTACTTAGGACTTTTGTTTTTCTGCCTTTTTGCTGCTACCATAAAAGAAGATAAACACTGCACATCAAACCATCCCATTAACAGGTAGAATGAAGCAGCCTGAGAGCTCTGAGCTCCGTGCTGCGCCTCCCTTTTCATTGTTTCTGTAATCTTAGAGGAGTCGTCAAAAGCTGCTTCTTCTGTTATTTCTTCAGCAGCCTGTATTGACAGTACAGCTTGGGTAAGTCCCGTCAAGTGCAGTCTGCAGAACAACCTCCCAGAATGCACTGGCCAACACCAGCTCGCTGCTGTGTTTTTGTGCAAATTTCTGCCAGTTTGCTTGACCTCCTCGTCCGTCACAGCCTGCTCACTGCTCAGCGTGTGTCTTGATTACGTGAAAGAGTTTAATTGTTTTGCATCCTATAGGACATCACGATTGATTCAGCTTACTTTGCCAAGAGTCTTTACCCACTAACACTGGAGAGATACCTTTTGCTTTGTAGGTGAAATTTTGTGAGAAATTAATTCTGCCTTCTGTGCCTCTGTTTTTTCAGTACCATTAACCTCTGGTGTAATTATCAAAATATATCAAATACATTTTTCTGCCTTTGATTTCTTCAAACTGGGCAATCTCTTTTCTGCAAGCAGAGCAGTACCTGGTACAGAAAGGGATTAAGTTTTTGCTTTGAGACTCCTTTTAAATGTCTCTGGAAAGGAAGTTAGCTGTGAATTAAAAATGTGACTTTACTGACATGTTTTTAAGCTAAATCTCCATGTTGAATTAACTGCTGCTCTCTGTACAGTATAGTTCATGGTTAGTGAAAAGTTGTTCATTGTACCTGAGCCTGAGAAGTCATTCTCATGCACTTGCAATACTTTCACTTTCAATCTGCAAACATCTATCATCGGGGACCATACATGTGGTCATACATGTGTATGGACATGTTGCCTCTCCATCTTGCGTCTTGAATGTCCCATAGAATATTGCACGGTGCTCTTTCACTGTTAAATCATTGTTGA